GCTTTTCACTTCAGCTAACATGTGCTAACATTAGCGTTTCACTTCAGCTAACTCTTGCTAATATAATCTATTCACTTCAGCTAACTCAAGCTGAGGTTAGTTTATCACTACAGCTAACACGGTAATGTTAGCTTTTCACTTCATCTAACGCGCTAACATAAGCTTTTGAGCTAACTAGCCGAGATTGGTTTGTCACTTCAGCTAACTCAAGCTAATGTTAGATTGTTTCTTTGGCTCTGGGTTCAACACATCAACAGAAGTAAGATTTGTTTAGCTGTACAGTGTTTTCAGTACTTGTCTTGGGAGGGCGCTCGTCTCTTCGGGGTCTTTGTCGACTGTGGGTGGGGGAGAGAGGTAGCGGAGCGCTGTTTGTCTTGCGCGTGGTTTGCAGTCTGAGCTGAGCTCATCTCTGCTCCCTGTCCAGAAGTGGCAGAGCAGAGTGGGGGTGGGGGATTTAGTAGGCGGGGCGTGCAGTTCTGTTGACATGGTAAGGCTCCCTCCTTGGATAAAGGTAGGGGAAACACTAGTGTATGTGTGGAAAGAGGTATTCCACAATAAATGTATTAAAAACATAATGAAAGGTCTCCATTTATTTAGCAATGTTTAGCTGATAGCCATGTTATAGCCTGCTATGGCCATGTATAGCTGTGCTACGTTAGAGTCAAGGTTCAACCTCAACGGCTCCAACTCCCGACTCAACGAGATCTTCTTTTGAAACGTGTTTCTGACTTTATGATTTATGATTTTCATTTCTTCTGTTTTCACGGTGCAATGTTGGTTTGTGTGTGCAGATGTAAGTTACCTGACAGAGGAGAAGGTGTACGAGATCTTGGACATCTGTGGAGAGAAGAAAGATTACTCCCCCCTGATCCGGGTCATAGGTCGGGTTTTCTCTAGCTCTGAGGGCCTGGTGCAGAGCTTCCGGAGGTCCAAACCTCACACCAAGGAGGAGCTGAAGTCTCTCCAGGGTAAGGACGAGGACAAGGATGAAGATGAAAAGGAGGCGGCTGCGTGTTCTGCTACAGCTATGGATGAGGACTCCCCCACCTCGTCTGCGTTGTCCAGGCTTGGAGAGGGATCCTCAGGAGAAAATGACGTCCAGAAGCTGGCCCCCGATGAGGTGTCGGTGGACATCGAAGCCGTGCGGCGGGTCTACGAGCGCCTCCTGTCCAATGAGAAGATCGAGGCTGCCTTCCTAAATGCTCTCGTCTACCTCTCTCCGAACGTCGAGTGTGATCTGGCGTACCACAACGTGTACTCCAGAGACCCCAACTACCTGAACCTGTTCGTCATCGTGATGGAGAACAGCAACCTTCACAGCCCTGAGTACCTGGAGATCGCTCTGCCGCAGTTCTGCAAGGCCATGAGCAAACTGCCTCTGGCAGCTCAGGCCAAGCTGGCACGCCTCTGGTCCCACTACAGCGCCGAGCAGATCCGGAGGATGATGGAGACCTTCCAGCAGCTCATCACTTTCAAGGTGATCAGTAACGAGTTCAACAGCCGGAACCTGGTTAACGACGACGACGCAGTTGTGGCGGCCACCAAGTGCTTGAAGATTGTTTACTATGCAAACGTTCTTGGAGGCGACCTGGACGTGGAGAACAATGAGGAGGACGATGATGAGCCGATTCCGGAGTCCAGCGAGCTCACTCTGCAGGAGCTGCTGGGCGAGGAACGCCGGAACAAGAAAGGCCCTCGAGTAGACCCTGTGGAAACAGAGCTGGGAATCCGCACCAACGACTGCCGGCAGCCGCTCATCTCCTTCGAGGAGTTTGTCAACGAGCCGCTGAACGAGGTGCTGGAGATGGACAAGGACTACACCTTCTTCAAGGTGGAGACAGAAAACAAGTTCTCTTTCATGACGTGCCCCTTCATCCTGAACGCCGTCACCAAGAACCTGGGTCTGTACTACGACAACCGCATCCGCATGTACAGCGAGCGGCGGATCACGGTGCTCTACAGCTTGGTGCAGGGTCAGCAGCTGAACCCCTACCTGAGGCTGAAGGTCCGCAGAGACCACATCATCGACGACGCTCTGGTCAGGGTATGTGAGTTCACTGCTTCATGGACTAACCACCTGGTTTTTCAGTTTAGATCTTTTAGCTGCGGTTTTCACACTTTTAGGTTTTAGCTGTTCTGTCTTTTTTTATCATGCAGCTTCAGTTCTGCTACACTGAGCGTTTATGTAGAGTTGAGCTCATGTAGCATCTGAGATCCTGGCTCCAGGTCTCTAAGCTGATGTGATCTGTGTCCTTGCAGCTGGAGATGATAGCCATGGAGAACCCTGCAGACCTGAAGAAGCAGCTGTACGTGGAGTTTGAAGGAGAGCAAGGCGTTGATGAAGGAGGTGTTTCCAAAGAGTTTTTCCAGCTGGTGGTGGAGGAGATCTTCAATCCTGATATTGGTAAGAAAGCTCCAAAACCTTCAATTCAATTCAGTTTATTTATAAAGCACCAAATCACAACAAAGTTGTCTCAGGGCACTTTACTGAAACATTCACATAAAAGCCAGTTAGTAAAGTTCTCTATCTGAGGAATCCAGCAGACAAGTTGAATCTTGGCTTTGTTGCAGTCTCCCATCCTGAGCAAGCACAGTGGAGACAGTGGAAAGGAAAACTCCCTTCAACCTTATGAACCGTACATGCACCTCAGACTCTGAGGCTCGTTTCATGGCTCTACAATTTGTGTCCACTCTGAAGGGTGCAACAATACAAAATGTACTTTTTTACCATGAAATAAATATTTAGTCAATTTAAAAAAAATGTAGTGTAGAGTTTTTAACAAAAATCTCTTAACGCATTAATATACAGGTGCTTGTCATAAAATTAGAATATCATGTAAAAGTTGAATTATTTCAGTAATTCCATGCAAAAAGTGAAACTTGTATATTATATTCATTCCTTACACACAGACTGATCTATTTCAAATGTTTAATTATTTTAATGTTGATTATAACTGACAACTAATGAAAACCCCAAATTCAGTATCAGAAAATGAGAATATTGTGAAAAGGTTCAACATTGAAGACACCTGGTGCCACACTCTGATCAGCTGATTAACTCAAAACACCTGCAAAGACCTTGAAATGGTCTCAGTCTAGTTCTGTAGCTACACAATCATGGGAAGACTGCTGACTTGACACTTGTCCAAAAGACGACCACTGACACCTGCACAAGGAGGACAAGACACCAAAGGTCATTGCTACAGAGGCTGGCTGTTCATAGAGCTCTGTGTCCAAGCACATTAATAGAGAGGTGAAGGGAAAGAAAAGATGTGGTAGGAAAAAGTGTACAAGCAGTAGAGATAACTGCACCCTGGAGAGGATGGTGAAACAAAACCCATTCCAAAATCAATCAATCAACCTTTATTTCTACAGGTAAATCCCATTGAGCCTCGAGGAATCATTTACAAGAGAGACCTGATTTATTAACAAAGAGTGATGACAACAATGGACAACAGCAACAACAATAAACAGTTATAAAAAGTCATACTGCAGTTTTTTTTTTTTTTTAACAAATAGGATGGCTAAAAGGAAAAGGTAACAAAACAAAACAAACAAACAAAAAAAACCAGCTCGATTCCAAGACAAATGTAGAAAACTAAAAACAGGAACATGTCTGCATTGGTCCCTGCCAGGTGTCCAACAGATTCTTAAAGACAGAGAGGTCAAGGTCGAGAGCTTCAAAGCTTTTTGTAAGATATTCCAGGGAACAGGAGCGGAATAAGAGAAGGCCCTTTTGCCTAGTTCAGTCCTCACTGAGGGAACACTGCAGGTAATGATGTCCTGAGAGCGCACTCTGTAGCTGCACTCACGCAGAGACATGTAGGAGGAGATGTATGAAGGCAGCAGACCAAGAAGTGATTTAAAGATGAAAATATACCAGTGAGAGAGTCTGCGTGAAGTTAATGACGTCCAGTTAACCAGTGGATACTGGGTGCAGTGGTGGGTACGATAATCAAAGCCAGTTATGAATCTTAGTGCACCATGATAGACAGCATCCAACATCTGCAGCATCCAACATCTGCAGGGTTCTTGTAGGAGTGTTCATGTAAATAATGTCACCATAATCAATGGAGGGAAGGAAAGTCACAGATACAAGGTGTTTTCTAGCGTTCAGAGTTAGACAGGATCTGTTTCTGAAAAAGAAACCCAGTTTAACTTTCAGTTTCTTTACCAAGTTTTCCACATGGAGCTTAAAAGAGAGATGTGTCGACCAAGATACCCAAATATTTATAGGAATCAACAAACTCAATGGGGACACCATTTGAGGATAAAATCGGAGGAAGAACTGCTGGGACCAACTTCCTATTTGAAAAAAGCATCCCTTTGGTTTTGTCGGCATTTAGGACAAGTTTGAGGTGGAACAAATCTGACTGGATGATGTTGAATGCAGAATTCTAAAGCTGGAAAGCCTTAGCAACAGTTTTAGCTCGACAATAAACAACTGTGTCATCAGCATAGAAATGTATGGATGCATTAGGGATGTTTTTACCTACATTATGTATGTAGATTGTAAAGAGGGTGGGTCCTAAGACTGAGCCTTGTGGTACACCATTGTTGACTGTTAAATAACTGGAGGAAGTACCATTATGTTGAACACATTGCCTCCGGTCTGAAAGGTCTGGAAGCTCAGAGGAGCTGAGTAGGACAAGGAAAGAGCTGGTTGCTGGTATTAAGAAGGCCAAGGCCACATATGCACAGAGGATCGAGGGTCAATTCACCTCACAAGACCCTCGGAGCATGTGGAGGAGCATTAAGTGCATAACAGATTATAAAGGAAGGAGCGAACAATGCCCTAAAGACCCATCTCTGCCTGATGCCCTCAACAAGTTCTATGCACGCTTTAAAGACCCGAACAGACCACCCAGCACCAGACTCACCTCACCACCAGATGAAGAGCATCTCAGCGTGACCTCAGGCGAAGTAAGGAGTACTTTCAGGAGGATTAATCCACACAAGCAAACGGCACAGACAACATCCCCGGAAAAGTGTTGAAGGAATGTGCTGATCAGCTCTGTGAGGTGCTGGCAGACATCTTTAACTCCTCACTTACCCTGGAGACAGTTCCCACCTGCCTGAAGACTGCCACCATCATCCCAGTCCCAAAAAGCTCTACAGTGACTGGTCTGAATGACTATCGGCCAGTGGCCCTCACCCCGATAGTCGCCAGATGCTTCGAAAAATTGGTCATGACTCACATCAAAACAACCATCAACATCAACGAGGACCCTCACCAGTATGCATACCGTGAGAACCGATCAACAGAGGACGCCATCTCCTCTGTGGTCCACACTGCGCTCAACCACCTGGAGCAGAAGGACTCTTACGTCCGTATGCTCTTTGTGGACTTCACATCCGCCTTCAACACCATGATCCCCCAAACCCTGATGGACAAACTATTCACACTAGGACTAAGCCCCTCCATTTGTAACTGTGTACTAGACTTCTTAACAAACCGATTGCAGTTAGTGAGGATCCACAACTTCTCCTCCTAAACCATAACCCTCAGCACTGGCTCTCCTCAGGGATGTGTGTTGAGCCCCCTCCTGTTTACTCTGCTCACGGATTATTGTGCAGCTACCCATCCAGGCTGTCACATTGTAAATTTTGCAGATGATACAGTGGTGGTGGGATGCATCACAAACAATGATGAGTCCAGCTACAGGCAGGAGGTGGAACACCTGGAGAGCTGGTGCAAAGAGAATAACCTTCACATCAATGGGAAGAAGACAAAGGAGATGATCGTGGACTTCAGAAGGAACAAACACACCTACACCCCCCTGAACATAAGAGGATCTGCGGTGCAAGTGGTCTCCAGCTACAAGTACTTGGGTGTACACATGAATGACAACCTCAACTGGAGCAACAACACCACCAGCCTGATGAAGAAAGCTCATCAGAGACTCTACTTCCTCAGGCGGCTGAGGTGAGCTGGTCTGGGAAGCTCAGTCCTCACCTCCTACAGGTGTGCAGTGGAGAGCATCCTGTGGTCCAACATCAACGTGTGGCATGGAGGCTGCACAGCTGCAGAAAGAAAAGCTTTGCAGAGAGTGGTGAAGGCTGCACAGAAATCTGTTGGAATCAGCCTCCCCACCATCACAGACATCTACACCTCCAGATGCAGGAAGAGGGCCACCTGCATCATGAAGGACCACACTCACCCAGCACACACACTTTTTGCCCCACTCCCCTCAGGAAGGAGGTTAAGGAGCATTAAGTGTAGAACCACTAGACTGAGGAACAGCTTCTACCCTGAGGCTGTTAGACTCATGAATCTCTAACCAGGAGAATCACTGTGAAAAATCACATCATGTTGCTGCTGATCTGTTTAATGTTGCTGCTGATCTGTTTCATGTTGCTGCTGATCTGTTTCATGTTGCTGCTGATTTGTTTCATGTTGATGTGTTCATGCGTGCTCATCTGCTCACACAGACTCATGTCCGTGCTACTGTTCAACATAATGTTTTTATACCATTAGTGCTTAGTGTATATTTAGTTTGTTTTTCCTAGTTCATATCTTAGATGTTATTACTGTTTTTCTTTTACATTTTATTGTTGGATGTAACTGGGACCCTGTGTACATAATTTCGCTCCACCACGTGGGGTGGAACGACAATAAAGAATCTCTGACTCTGACTCTAATCATCAACATTAAAAGAAATAAACATTTGAAATATATCAGTATGTGTGTAATCCATCCATCCATCCATTTTCTTCCGCTTATCCGGGGTCGGGTCGCGGGGGTAGCAGCCTAAGTAGGGAGGCCCAGACTTCCCTCTCCCCAGCCACTTGGTCCAGCTCCTCCGGGGGAATCCCGAGGTGTTCCCAGGCCAGCCGAGAAACATAGTCTCTCCAGCATGTCCTGGGTCTTCCTCTGGGCCTCCTCCCAGTGGGATGTTTCTGGAACACCTCACCAGGGAGGCGTCCAGGAGGCATCCTAAACAGATGCCCAAGCCACCTCAACTGGCTCCTCTCGACGTGGAGAAGCAGCGGCTCTACTCTGAGTCCCTCCCGGATGATCGAGCTTCTCACCCTATCTCAAAGGGAGAGCCCAGACACCCTGCGGAGAAAACTCATTTCAGCCACTTGTATCCGAGATCTCATTCTTTCGGTCACAACCCAAAGCTCGTGACCATAGATGAGGGTAGGAACGGGTTAGGGTTAGGGTTAGTTGGGTTAGGGTTAGGGTTAGTCGGTAAATTGAGAGCTTCACCTTTTGACTCAGCTCTCTCTTCACCACGACAGACCTGTACAGCGCCTGCTTCACTGCAGCCACTGTACCCAATCTGCCTATCGATCTCACGCTCGATTTTTCCCTCATTCGTGAACAAGACCCCAAGATACTTGAACTCCTCCACTTGGGGCAGGACCTCCTCACTAACCTGGAGAGGGCACTCTTCTTCAGCCTGACAGCATCCCTCGCTGACGGTGTCCACCATCGGGTTCGAGGGTTGCCGCCACGACAGGCACCGACAACCTTGCGGCCGCAGCTCCGGTAAGCCGCCTCGACAATAGAGGCATGGAACATGGCCCACTCGGACTCAATGTCCCACACCTCTTCTGGAACATGTTCGATGTTCTCCCGGAGGTGGGAGTTAAAACTCTTTCTCACAGGAGACTCTGCCAGACGTTCCCAGCAAACCCTCACAATACGTTTGGGTCTGCCAGGTCTGACCGGCATCCTCCCCCACCATCGGAGCCAACTCACCACCAGGTAGTGATCAGTGGACAGCTCCGCCCCTCTCTTCACCTGAGTGTCCAAGACATGTGGCCGCAGATCAGATGAGATGACGACAAAGTCGATCATCGAACTGCGGCCTCGGGTGTCCTGGTGCCAAGACCACATATGGACACACTTATGCCTGAACAAGGTGTTCGTTATTGACAATCCATGACGAGCACAGAAGTCCAACAACAGAACACCACTCGGGTTCAGATCAGTGGGGCCATTCCTCCGAACCACACCCCTCCAGGTCTCAATGTCATTGCCCACGTGAGCATTGAAGTCCCCCAGCAGAACAAGAGAGTCCCCAGGAGGTGCAATTTCCAGTACACCCTCCAAGGACTCCAAAAAGGGTGGATAATCTGAACTGCCGTTTGGTGCATAAGCACAAATGACAGTCAGAACCTGTCCCCCCATACCTAGGCGGAGGAGGCCACCCTCTCATTCACCGGGGTGAATGAACCCCAAAACACAGGCACCAAGATGGGGGGCAATAAGAATGCCCACTCCTGCTCGGTGCTTCTCACCAGGGGCAACTCCAGAGTGGAAGAGTGTCCAAAGGTCTAAATAGTGTCTAAAAGGTCTATAGTTGGACAGAATTTCTGAATCAAGATCAGACTTCTTAAGTAATGGTTTAATCACAGCAACGTTAAAGCGCTGTGGTACATAACCATCCATTAAAGACAAATTAAGTAGATCCAAAATGTGGACATTAATTAGTGGAAATACCTCTTTAAACAGTCTGGTTGGGATGGGATCTAGCAGGCATGTGGATGGTTTGGATGAGGTTATTTTTGACAATTCAGAGCTCTACAGGACAAAAACTGTCCAAACATAAATCAGGCTGTAGTGAAATTTTTAAAGTTGTCTCATTTGACAGGGGACTAGAGATAGTAGAAGGAAGGATGGTTTGAATTTTCTCTCTAATTGAAATAATTTTATTTATAAAGAATCTCATGAAGTCATCACTACTTATAGTTGTAGGGATACATGGTTCAACAGAAATGGGACTTTTAATTAGTCTAGCAATAGTACTAAACAGAAACCTAGGGTTATTTTTATTCTCCTCTATTAAAGATGAGTAATATAAAGTTCTAGCTTTACGGAGAGCTTTTTTATATGTTAGCAGACTATCTTTCCAAGTTAAATAAAATTCTTCAACATTAGTAGAGCGCCATTTTCTCTCCTGGTTTCTAGATGCTGCTTTAAAGTACGTAACTCAGAATTGAACCAAGGAGCCAGTTTCCTCTGATTGATTACTTTCTTTTTCAGTGGAGCAATTTTATCAAGTGAAGTTTGCATTGAAGTTGTAAGATGATCAACTAGATGATCTAAGTCTCTGTTCTCTGATGCATTACTCTGCAAGACAGAGGAAAACATTGATGGAAGAGATTGTTTCAATTTGGTTACAGCATTTTCTGATAAGCACCTGCTGAGATGAAATTTACTCTCAGTGACTGTGTAGTCATTTAATGTAAACTCAAAGTTATTAAAAAATGGTTGGACAGAACAGGATTTTGAGGAACTGTTACCAAGTCCTTAATCTCTATACCAAGTGTAGAACCACTAGACTGAGGAACAGCTTCTACCCTGAGGCTGTTAGACTCATGAATCTCTAACTAGAATAATCACTGTGAAAAACCATATCATGTTGCTGCTGATCTGTTTCATGTTGCTGCTGATCTGTTTCATGTTGATGTGTTCATGCGTGCTCATCTGCTCACAGACTCATGTTCATGTTTGTGCTGATGTTCAATGTTTTATGTTATGAGTGCTTAGTGTATATTTAGTTGATGTTTTTCTTAGTTCATATCTTAGATGTTATTACTGTTTTTCTTATACATTTTATTGTTGGATGTAACTGGGACCCTGTGTACATAATTTCGCTCCACCACATGTACCACATGAGGTGCGAATGACAATAAAGAAACTCTGACTCTGACTCTGATAGGTCAGAACTAAATCAAGAGTGTGATGATAAGAATGAGTAGATGTGCGGACGTTTTGGGTAAAACCAAATGAGTCTATTAAATTATTAAAGGCTATGCTTAAACTATCACTCTCAACATCCACATGAATATTGAAATCACCCATTATTATGATTTTATCAGTATTTAATAATAAGTCAGTTAATAATTCTGAGAATTCAGACAAAAACTGAGAGTAAGCTCCTGGTGGACGATATATAACAACTAGTAAAAGTGGCTTTTCTGATTTCCATTTTGGATGAGAAAGACTGAGGGACAGCGATTCAAAAGAATCATAACTAATAACTGGTTTGGCATTAATCAATAATCCTGACTGAAAAATAGAAGCTGCTCCTCCACCTCGGCCAGTTGTTCTAGGAACATGAACATTTAAATAATTAACAGGAGTGGATTCATTTATACCAACAAAATCCTCCTGTTGTAGCCAAGTTTCTGTCAGACACAATAAATCAATATGATGATCAGTTATCAGTTCATTAACTAACAGGGATTTAGAGGAAACAGATCTGATGTTCAATAATCCACATTTAATGATTTGATGATTTTGCTCTGGTAAAGTAACTGTGTTTATTTTAATCAGATTTTTATGGTTTATATTTTTAGAGCTGATTTTTGGTTTATTTAATTTGAGCCGTGGGCGAGTTGACACTGTTTCAATGTGGGGGTGGGTGGTGTACAGAGGAGAAGCAGCAGAGAGGTGGAGGACTACAACTCTGCTTCCTGGACTGGACCCTGGGTTGTCAATCATTTGGGGGATCAACAAAATCAGCCATATTTCTAGAAAGAAGAGCGGCTCCGTCCAAAGTGGTATGGATGCCATCTCTCCACATCAGACCAGGTTTTCCCCAGAAAGAACTCCAGTTATCTTTGTAGCCCACGTCGTTGTCAGAACACCACCTGGACACCCAGCGGTTAAACAAAAGTCTTTAATGAAATGTCCTGTAGACTGTGTTGTGGCTCAGTGATTCAAATTTTACTGAGTAGAGTTCCTTTCATGGTTCTGTTTGGAGATGTTTCAGAGAGTCATGTGAGAACCATCGGTTTAATCGTCGTCTTGTCCTCCTTCAGGGATGTTTACGCACGACGAGCGGACGAGACTCTTCTGGTTCAACCCGTCATCGTTTGAGAACGAGGGCCAGTACACGCTGATTGGCATCGTTCTGGGTCTGGCCATCTACAACAACTGCATCCTGGACGTGCACTTCCCCATGGTGGTCTACAGGAAGCTGATGGGCAAGAAGGGGACCTTCAGGGACCTGGCTGACGCTAATCCAGTAAGGCTTCGTTCATTCTGCTCAGCACAGTTTGTTAACGTTCACTGACTGGTTCTGGCCCTATGTCAAGGTTCTGTGCCAGAGTCTGAAGGAGCTGCTGGAGTATGAGGGCAGCGTGGAGGATGACATGATGATCACCTTCCAGATCTCTGAGACGGACCTGTTCGGGAACCCGCTCATGTACGACCTGAGGGAGAACGGGGACAAGATTCCTGTGACCAACGACAACAGGAAGGTGAGATGATCTGAGCCGTCCAACTGGTTTCTCTGGGCTCTCTGCTCACCATGAGAGGTGCTGAGAGACCTGCTCAGCTCTCAGGATGGAGGGCTTGGCTTCTTCACATCCCATTTATTCCACACCTGAGCTTCCTGCTCAAACCTGAGGAACATTCCACCTTTTTCATTTCATATATGCATAAACACTACATTCAAGAGAGTATTATTACTCTGCCGTGGACTTGTTCAGCACAAACAGGAAGTCATCTGGATGCTGGCATCAAACATCCTCCAGCTCCAAAACTCCCAGAGCCGTGATAAATAACATTTATTTTAATATTTATAAAAACAGGCCCAATACTAACTAATCATTTTAACTAAGAAAACATTTTGTTTTTGATCAAACTTTTTGAGACCTGGGATTCTGTTTACGATTCAGAATAGATACAAACTTCTATTGTCTGGTTTAAAAGCAAACGTTTGGCTCTTTACTGTCACTTTGTTCCACTGAACTTATACTGAACCCTGGTACTCCCCTAGTATTTATTATTTGTATGCAGTGTATATGAAGCATGTTACACATTAAAAGATGAGGTCATAAGAAGTTGATGTTGTCAAATGATCAGAGGATAAATGAAATGTATCAAGTTAAAAAAAACAACTGTCAAATCGTAGCTGCATGGCTCACAGTATCACAGGTATCAAACAGAACTAGAGAGATTGAAATAAAAATATTCAGCCTTCCTCATCCAGGAGTCTCTAAAAGTTCCTGAGGCTGTTTAAAGATGAACACCTCCATGGTCTTTGCTGTAGAGGGTTTAGATATGGCTGTAGAGGGGTCAGATGTTAATGTAGAGGGGTCAGATGTGGCTGTTGAGGGGTCAGATGTGGCTGTAGAGGGGTCAGATTTGAATGTAGAGGGGTCATATGTGGCTGTTGAGGGGTCAGATGTGGCTTTTGAGGGGTCAGATGTGAATGTAGAGGGGTCATATGTGGCTCTAGAGGGGTCATTTGTGGCTGT